ATTCTATTCTCTCTTGCAGAGCAATGTTGAAGAATGGGAAGAAAATCTGTCTGGACCCAGAAGCTCCCAGAATCAAGAAAATAGTCCAGAAAATATTGGAAGATGGTGCGTCAGCTGCTTAATCTTTTCGCTTTCTGTCAAACCATTTTATCTCCCAAGAAGGATAAAAGTTTGAGGTCTTGGCTTTCTAGAGTTCTTATTTATCCAGGATACTGAGTAATACCGTATGAAGCTTTGGATGTGTTTTCCGTTCTGTCGCAAAAAGTCACATTTTGTTCTGAGATGGCTAATTAATAGATGACAGACAGAAAATGAAAGTAAGCATGGCTAGGGTGTAAGATAGGCTCAGGGATGCATTGTACAACAGGGGGAATAGAGCCAATATTTTGTAATAAATGTAAATGGAAAGTAACTTTAAAAATTTTTAAGTTAATAAAAAAAGAAAGTAAGCAAGGCTAGTTTCAAAATGCATGGTTTACTCCCTAACTCTTGGCTAAATGTGGTACTGTGTTTTGCATTTCCTCTTTAAAAATTTCTTTCCAAATACAGCCGTGTTAACTTATCTTGCTCCTCTGTACTGTTAGACTAGATGTGCCCATGATGATTCCATAATGGTCAGTGATATTAGGAACCACACAAGGCCCAGCGTGGAACACTTGCTCAAAAAATGTTTATTAATATATTTAGGCACTTTATATATTAATAGTGTTTAAATAGTGTTTTTCATTGTCTTAGTCCTAGGATGTCTTGTTTCAAAACATTCTCTGAAAGATTTTTCTAATGTTTATTTTAGCCTTCAAATCCTAAAAATAATAAAGCTGTAGAATGTGAGTCTTGTAAGCAGTGGTTATTTACTTTAAAGTGGATATATTTAATACCAGTAGAGCAAAAAATATATGATGATATATGATAACATATATATTTTTAATAATATATGATAGTATTTTCAATAATAATAATAACAACACAGATTCTACTTGGTGTTGAATGTTTTACCCTGACATGTTTGTACATATTTGCATTTACTAAATATCTAGATGGTAACCATTTCAGTATGAGAATCAGCCTTGCAAATAAACACGATAGAGAATTTAAGCTTTGCCAGGCTACTAACTGTTATTTTACAATCAAAAGAACTTTCTTTAATGTCTAATCTCTTTAATTTACACCCATACTATTCTTAAAGAAATATTAATATAAAATCAAATTTATTATTGCTTTGTTGTCATATAGTATTACTTTTAACAGAATTATTAGGGAAAAAAGCCTTATCTTTTTATTTTTTTAAACTTTGGTATTTAACAATATGGCCAACAAAAGTCACTAGCTGATGATACGTGCTATTTTTAATGTACTATAGTAATAGCTAAACTTTATTAATAACTATTAATATTATGAGTTATATTAATAATAAGATTAATAGTCCAGACAAAATAATTGTTCTGCATGCATTACAAATAAATAATTGTAAAGAATTAAATAATTCTTACAAGATAGCTATGATCTGGTTAAGAGCACGTCCTCTAAAGAGAGGGTAACTTAGTCCACCACTTGCCAGCTGTGTAAATTTGGGCAGGTTGCATAACCTCTCTGTGCCTAAGTTTCTTCATCTCTAAAATGGCATAATAATATTGCTTATCTCATAGAGTTGATGTGAAATTAACAGTTAATAAATTCAAAGTGCTGAAGATAATGAATGTCACACAATAACCCATATGTCAATTTAGTTAGTATTTATTATTATTACCATTAGTGTTATAGGGAAGAAAAACGAAGTTCAAAGAGATTAGGAAATTTGCCTCAGAATCACAAAACTAAGTAGGTGACAGAGTGGCAATTTGAAATTGTGCTCTTAACCGCATACCATATCACTTTGCTTGATTTTTCTCTCTCTAATTAAGAGATTACATTATATATCACATAATGTTATTGACACGGAAAATAGGACTTGATACGTAAATAGCATACTGCACATACTATGATGGTTATAGGAGAAGATATCAGTTCATCTATCCCAAACTGCACATGGACCTTGGGGAGCACTCATGTATTAAGCACATAGTTCACAATCTCTGCATTATTAGGTTTCCTTTTATTATCTCCTCACTATTATAGGTTTAATGCCTTAGATGCTTTATCTACAAAATAAATACTTTTATTAAGTAATAGTTAACAAATAACATGCATCTATAAACGTGTAATAAATAAAGCAGTAAATGGTGACTGCAGTCGTGGTGATCAGTTTTTCTCCAATAATTTAAAATAGCTCAGCATCTCATTCATTTCTCTAGTGGTTTCCTACTGAAATCCAACAGGGCCACCTCTTGAGACATGACACAGTTTTACACTAGGCTAATACCTCCTGCATAATGCATATATCTCTTACTTTTGTGTGCACATATTGAATTATTCTATTTAGATGCAGAGAAAGAATGAATGAATTGTCACTACTCCCTGGGTTCCTTTATACTGCAAATATTGAAATCTGTGGGGTAAGGTTGTACAAATCCAGTATGTTGCCCATCCATATGCCAAACCACCCCTCCTATCCATTCCCTCTGGGATAACCCAATTTGGGATCTCAAGTTTCACTTCCATAAACATGTATGACTTATACATGCTGTACCAGCCATTGCACGGATGCTGGATATTCAAAGACTATAAGTCACAGAGACTTGTCATTGAAGAGAGTACTGTCTGGTGGGAGAGGCAGACAGGCTGACAAATAATCACAACCACAAGTTCATATAGAGGTATGCTCCAACTACACAAAGAAACAGACACATGAACACGTCAAAGCCTCATCGTTATCGTTTTCAACATTTATCATCTTCACTAGTGTAGTACTTTATACTGAGTTCCTTCCAGGGAGCTAGAATAGCGATAGACAGTACTATCTCTCACCACACGGAGCTTTCCATTTAGGAAGAGAAACCATTTTAAACACATTTAAATATATATGCATGTGTGTGTGTACGTCATATATTTGTGTTTGTATGAGCTGTGAGAAATAGGAGGAACACTGGGTGTTACAAGACAACAGGGAAAACAAGTAGCTTTAACTGTCGGGGAAGGGCCCCTGTGGGGAGGTGATATTTAAGCAGACACCAGAAATATGAATAGAGCTAGCCAGCTGAAAAGACAGGTGGTGGGAGAGTAAGAGAAAGCACATTCCAGGCCCAGGAACTAAATTCCATATCCCTGCAGAAATCTGGTCCTGCTGAGCATTAAGAGGTCTGCTAGGGCTTCCCTGGTGGCGCAGTGGTTGGGGGTTCACCTGCCGATGCAGGGGACACGGGTTCGGGGCCCGGTCTGGGAAGATCCCACATGCCGCGGAGCGGCTGGGCCCATGAGCCACGGCCGCTGAGCCTGCGTGTCCCGAGCCTGTGCTCCACAACAGGAGAGGCCACAACAGTGAGAGGCCCACGTACCGGGGGGGGAAAAAAAAAAAGAGGTCTGCTAGTTCCATGCAGTGGGCTCCTGAGGCCCTCCACCACTGTTAATCAGTGTGACAGGGAGCCTCTGGCTTTGAGATGAGGGTGTGCTTTGCCCTGATCAAGAGCCAAAGTCATTCTTTTTCAGGGAAGGGAAGATGGTCTATATTGATCTCTGGACCTTTTCTGTGCAGAATTCTGTTGCATCTTTTACACACTCAACTCCCAGATGCTCTGTGTCCTCCTGAGAGCTTCACTACTCCCGCCAACGGTGCAGCCCATCTCACCCTGTCACTTGTACTGGCCAGGTGGCAGCAGGTACTGGGAGATATGGCCTGAAAACTCTCCTTGACCTCTCTTCTTCCTGAGCAGAATGGAGAAACATCCAGGTAGCAATTTTTATAGAAAGTGTGCATCCAAACATTACCGTTACAATTTTTCTCAGAATAAGAGGATAGATGAGGCTAACTGAGCTTGCTTCCTAGAGTATAGTGGGTGATGCTTGATAGAGCCAGGTGGATCCCATTCAAGAGACTGAGGAAACTTTCCACATTCACGTGAAATTTGGAAGCAAGTCATCACCTGGAGACCAAATTCAACTCTTTAGTAGCAGAAAACAATGACAAACAGCACATCTGGAAGAAACGCACCTGCCAAACTCACTCAGTGGTAATTAACAAGAAAGGCAGAAGTGAAGGAGCAGTTCTTTTTTTTTTTTTAATATCTTTATTGGAGTATAATTGCTTTACAATGGTGTGTTAGTTTCTGCTTTATAACAAAGTGAATCAGTTATACATATACATATATCTCTATATCTCTTCCCTCTTGTGTCTCCCTCCCTCCCACCATCCCTATCCCACCCCTCTAGGTGGTCACAGAGCACCGAGCTAATCTCCCTGTGCTATGTGGCTGCTTCCCACTAGCTGTCTATTTTACGTTTGGTAGTGTATATATGTCCATGCCACTCTCTCACTTTGTCACAGCTTACCCTTCCCCCCCCCCCCATATCCTCCAGTCTCTCTCTAGTAGGTCTGTGTCTTTATTCCCGTCTTACCCCTAGGTTCTTCATGACCTTTTTTTTTTCTTTCTTACATTCCATATATGTGTGTTAGCATATGGTATTTGTTCTTGATGAGGCAGTTGAGAGTTGAGAAGGAAACAAACTTTCCTGCTGTACCAACTGCAACACGGTGACTACAGAGAACTCTACTCTTGCACATAACCAAGAAAACATATTTTTATAAGGTTAAAGTACCGTTTCTAACTGCACAAATGTGCATGTATTATATGAATTCAGGGTAGCGGTTGGATCCTGCTACCAGCTCCCAGCAAGACTGCTGATCCCTGGCTTCTTTTCCTTTTGCCCTAATCTTGGCTGCCCAGTGCCCAACTCTGCAGAAGTGTCTCAGCTTCCGCACCGCAGTTCTCCATCCTCAACCCCAGGCTTCCGACGAAGTTGACCCACAGCGGGTATAAAACGGCCTGAGAGTCTCGGGAACCACCGGTCTGCGGAGCGCCAGCCCGGGCTGCCCCTGCGCTCGCGGCTCCTGCTGGCATCTCTGCGACATGAGCCTGGCAGCTGGCACCCGCGCCCCCGGCCCGCGGCCCAGCCCCGGGCTGCTGCTCCTACTAGCCGTCGCTCTCGCCCAAGGTGAGAGTTGGATGAAGCAGGGCCTGGGGGAGGTCGGGGGCGGCGGGGAGAGAGTGCTGGAACCCCCGGGGCTGGAGAGGAGTCCGTACCCGTCTCGGTTCCCAGCTGTGATTGACCGAGCGCGGCTAGGAGCTCAGGCGCTGTGCCAGGTGCTCCCCGCTGCGCTCCACCACCTGGACAGTCAGACACTTTCTCAGGGAGGTTTGGTTTGTGGATGAGGAAGTGAAGGTCAGACGCCACGCCGCGAGAAGATCCCTAAGGTACCTCTGGCTATTCACAGAGTCGTCACTCCCCACTGTCCCCGCCCCACCCGCAGCAGACTCTGAAGGTGGAGCTGGAGACCTGCGCTGCGTGTGTGTGAAGACCACCTCTGCGGTCCATCCCCGGAGCATCTCCAGCCTGGAGGTGATAGGGGCTGGGCTCCACTGCCCCAGCCCCCAACTGATGTGAGTCGTTGCACTCGCTCCTTTCGTGCTCACTGGCCTCTCCTCTCCCCTTCCCTACCGCCCCTCTCCACCCGCCTCCCGCCAGCCTAATCCCAAATTCCAACCCAAGGACCGAAAGGCGCGCCTCTTCTTTCCCTGGCAGAGCTACGCTGAAGGATGGGAGGAAAATTTGCCTGGACCCGCAGAATCCTCTGTATAAGAAAATAATCAAGAAACTTTTGAAGAGTTAGCTCTTAAATCTGTACTTTTGAAGAGTCGGCTGCCTAAATCTGTACTTTTGCTATATAAAGCGTTTCTTCTTCTTTTTTTTTTTTCGTTTTCAATCTAACTGCGGAAAACTCATCTGATGATTTTATTATCCTTGAAATTCTACATAAACAAAATAAATGAAGTTGTGGTATAGTCAATATTTATTAATAGAGGAAAGAAATAATGTTGACATATCACAATTTCATATAAAGAAAATCTCCAGAATTTTAAGCAAAAATATATTTTGAAAGAAGGTTTGGTTTAATAAAGACTGGTTTTACTTGGTGTTGTATGTTGGCTGATATATATTTGCATATTTCCAGGATTGTATTACTTAATAACTACTTATTTACATAATAATGTCTTGGTTAGCTTTGCCAATAAATATTAATTGCACTTAAGTTTTCTGGGCTGCTTTTTTAAAAAAAATTAAGTAAATAAAGTAGACTCTGCTTTTACCTCCTTAAGATTTATACTTTACCCCAGTATAGAAAATTAATTAAAATGAAACTAGAATTCTCTACTACTTAGTGGAAATATACTGGTACTTTCCAGAGCATTACATTAAAATATTGTACTCTTTATTGATCCTTTGATAATGCTGACATTTAACAAAAATGAAATGGTAAAAACAGTTCTTGTACTCATGTTACTGCCTGTAATAAATCCCACATTTCGCAAACTTACAGAATTGGTTCTTATTACATTCCATTTATATACCATGAGTTTTGCTCTAAGCATGAAAATGTCTTTAATAGACTTTTTCCTCAGTATTCTCGGGTTCAGTAAAACCTTATTTGCAGTTTACCACTGTTCCATGAATCTCTTAACATTGGAGATATTGAGATTGTGTGTTAAACAGCCGTGGAAATTAGGAGAGATACAGGTTGTATTTTCGTTTATGCTTTAAGAAGACACTACTATACTTTAGGAAGAAATGATGGCATTGAAAGTTGGGTGTGTTAGTTACTTTGCTTCTGTAACAAAGTACCACAAACTCAGTGGCTTTAACAGCACATATTTATTATCTCACAGTTCTAGACATCACAAGTCCAAAATGGGGCTTACAGGCTAATGTCAAGGTGTCCTCAGAGCTGCATTCCTTCTGGAGGTTCTAGGGGAGAATCTATGTCCTGTCTTTCTCAGCTTCTTGAGGCCACCTGCATTCTTCAGCTTCTGGTCCCTTCCTCTATCTTCAAACTACATCACTCCAACCTTTACTTTTGTTGTCACCTCTGACCCTTCTTCTTATACCCTGCCTGCCTCTTAAAAGGGGCCTGTGATTATGCTGTGCCCACTTGGGTAATCTAAAATAATCTTCCCATCTCAAGATCCTTTCACATCTGTGAAATCTTTTTTGCCATATAGGTAACATTTTCACAAGGTTCTAGAGGTTAGGATATGGAAATATTTATTGAGCCTAGTGGGCAAGAAGGCAGAATCTAGTTGAGGCAGGAGAAAGCTACAGACCTTTACCCATGAGCCAAAGTCATTTCAACCTAAGGTGGCAATGTTTGTGTACAGGGAGGATTAGACTGCTAAGAGAAAATGGAGAATGTCCATTTCAGTCTCCTTGGGGTGGGAGAAAGGGAGGAAGCTTTGAGATAACAAACTACTTAAATAGACACTATTTATAGAGGCTTATGAAGTGCAAGAGTATCACCTAATTTTCACAACCACTTTGCATGTCAGGTAATATTATTCCCATTGTAGAGTTGCAGTAACAGTCTCAGAAAGGTTAAGGCGTCTCCCAAGACCAGTTTGCTAGAGGGTGAGCAGATCAGTCTGACTTTCAACTCCCTGCTCTTGCTTTCATGTTGTTCTGCCTTTCACACAAGTTAGTGGCATGTTAGCTAGTTTTTCAGAGGGGAACTGACCCAAAAACCAGCTCTTGGAGGTGGTGTATAAATTTGCCAGGGGCAAAGGGAAGAATGAAACTGCCACAAGATGACAAAGCAGAAAGACACAAGATCATTAAGTCCTCAGGATGTTTACCATTCTGCAGAACAGGAATGTCTATGGGGATGGGTCTCCCAACTAGTTTTCACCCATTTGGTGTTTTTCACTTTTGATCCACCTTGTGCACCTTCACCCAAATTATCTTCAAGGTCCAAAGTTCTTATCATGGCACACAAGGTTGTGCTATACTCACTTCCCCTCTGTGCCTTAGTTTCTTCATCCATGAAATGTGGATGAGTGTCTACTTTATAGATTATTGTGTAGACTAAGTAGATGATGTATGTGAAACACTTGGCATAGTTCCTCATACATAGTCTGTGCTTAAAAATTAGCAATGATTAATTGTTACTATTGCCTTCTTTTCTTTTCTTTTTTTTTTTTTTGCTTTCAATATTGTTCTTAACACACAATTCCAGTCAGTTTGGAGTGTTGAGTAAGGCACTTAACAGAGTGATTCTTGGTGATAAGTAGCAAAAAAAAAAAAAAAGTTGCAATAGCAATAAAAGTTTCTCAAACCAAATGAACTTTGGAAAAGAATACATTGAAATTGGCTGTGAATGGTACAATACTTTTTTGCCTAATTTCCTTTTACTGCCTGCATCAAACAACATACTTAGTTGGATTCAATAACTCCTAGGTATGACTCAAAGGGCCAAAGGACCAAAACAAATTGTGCAAAGTCAACTAATGCTGGTGCCTTGTAAATTCTCCCTTCAGAATTACCTTGGTTAACCAGCCGGAGAATGCTTTCAAGTGGTCTCTTTTATCAGCAATGGCACTGGGAGAGGACTTTCCTACCAGGAAAAGTCTAAATTAGAGAACAATTTACTGTAGCTGCCTGCTGTTCAAACATTCATGGAGTGATATAGATTGAATGTACTTAAACGTGAACTATTTTTTCTTTCTTTTTCTTCTTCTTTTTTTTTTTTTGGCTGGAAGTAGTCAGCAGAAAATGTCCCCAACCAAGTGCTTACTGCACAGTCACAGGCCCTATCAACAAACAAAACCACCAAAGTGTATTTTGCTCTGGGACATTCTTCAGCATTTTTCTAATTTTTGCTTCCCCCCGCCCCTTTTAAGGTCTTTGTGGTAAAAACAGTTTCCTCTTCAATGCATAGAGTATTGAGGTCTTAGTTGGTTATAAAGATATATTCATAATTTTTCTCATTATAAAAACAATGAATACATTCTCACTACAGATAACTTAGAAATACAGAGGAAATAAGGAGGAAACTTAAAAAAAAACTTTAATTTCACTACCCAAAATGTTCTTTTCATTTTTAAAAATATTACTCATTTGCTGTAGTTATGAGGTGAACTGCTGATTTTCAATAAAATATCACTGTACACAATCATAAAAGGAACACAGTAATTACTTCATTGCAATGAAACTAGTTAGTGAGTATTCTTGTTCCAATTTTGGTTAATAAAATAAGTTTTTACTTGGCCAGAGAAATAATATCAAACCCATGTGACCTGGCATCTATTTATAGATTTATAGGTACTGTGTATGTATGTATTCACTGTGTGTGTATGTATGCATGTACAGACACACAGGCCTAAAACAAGTTTAAAATACAATACTTATACTTGCTTTGATATTTTATTTTCTATACTTGTTACAGAACTTAGGTTGGGCTTCTTGCTGCTCAAAAGCCAATATTTGGGAGGCAAGTGTTGGTTGGAAAAGGAAAGGTTGCTTTATTCAGGAGGGTTGTAACCTGGTGAGAAGGTGGACCTCATGTCCTAAAACCAACTGAAGATTCTGCTTGACCATGAAAGGTTTTAAAGGGAGAAAGAATCATTTGGTGAAGGGGGGTCAAAGTCTTCATTATCTTTCACTGTGTGCAGACTTTCTTTCAATTGGTTGGTGGTGAGGTAGCAGGGTGGTGTTTCAGGAATCTTGTGCTCAGTCTGAAGTTACCATCCTCCACCTAGGTGAGGGCCTTAGTTCCTGCAGAAGAACTCAAAGTTATTTTATTACGTATATTCCTTGAGGAGGAACCAGAACCCTGCCCCATGACTGGACTATTGTTTCTTGACTGCTCCTCGTTTGTTTCTGCATCCCTTCCCTGATAAACAACTCTTTGAATCTGTCCTTTGGAGCTCAGGAAAGGTCTAGGAGGCTGAATGAAGCCTATTTCCTACCAGCAAGAATCGAGGGCATGGATGGGACTTCCCTGGTGGTCTAGTGGTAAAGAATCCACCTTCCAACGCAGGGGATGTGGATTCGATTCCTGGTCAGGGAACTAAGATCCCACATGCTGCAGGGCAACCAAGCCCACGTGCCACCACTACCGACCTGCACCGCTCAGCGAGAGAGCCCGCGTGCCGCAAACTACAAAGCCCATGCACTCTGGAGCCTGCGTGCCACAACTGGAGAGAGAAAACCCACACGCCACAACTAGAGAGAAGCCCGAGCACTGCAACAAAAGATCCCGCATGCCATAACTAAGACCCGATTCAGCCAAAAAGTAAAAAATAAATAAATAATAATAAAAAAAAAAGAATCGAGGGCATGGAAAGGATTTGTACCTGGGACCCCACCACAGGGTGCTGCTCTGTTTCATACTAGCCTATCCTATTTATCCACTTAAAAATAAATGTTGGGGCTTCCCTGGTGGCTCAGTGGTTGGGAGTCCGCCTGCCGATGCAGGGGACACGGGTTCGTGCCCCGGTCCGGGAGGATCCCACAGGCCACGGAGCGGTTGGGCCCGTGAGCCATGGCCGCTGAGGCTGCGTGTCTGGAGCCTGTGCTCCGCAACGGGAGAGGCCACAGCAGTGAGAGGCCCGCGTACCGCAAAAAAATAAAATAAAATAAAATAAATGTTGGCCACAAGCCTATAATAAAGTGATTTCATAACCCAGTGATGGATCATAACTTGTAGTTTAAAAACATTGTCTTGTTCTTTGATTGAACAGTCAAGTTTTAACATTTCATGTTGGAGTCCACACTCTAATTAGTGCTTCTCAAGATGCTTGGCTAGTTAGTAGGGGCAGAAAGCTCAGGAACAGCAGGACA